GTTTCCTTTGTGCTCACTCTAAGAAAGCATGCCATCTGCGTATCTGAGGTTATTGATATTTCTCCCGAAATCTTGATTCCAGCTTGTGCTTCTTCCAGCCCAGCGTTTCTCATGATGTACTTTGCATATAAGTTAAATAAGCAAGGTGACAATAGACAGCCTTGACGTACTCCTTTTCCTATTTGGAACCAGTCTGTTGTTCCATGTCTGGTTCTATCTGTTGCTTCCTGACCTGCATACAGATTTCTCAAGAGGCAGGTCAGGATTGTCTGGTATTCCCATCTCTTTCAGAATTTTCCAGTGTATTGTGATCCACACAGTCAAAAGCTTTGGCTTAGTCAACAAAGCAGAAATAGATGTTTTTCTGGAACTCTCTGCTTTTTCGATGATCCAGTGGATATTGGCAATTTGATCTCTGGTTCCTCTGCCTTTTCTAAAACCAGCTTGAACATCTGGAAGTTCACGGTTCATGTACTGCTGAAGCCTGGCTGGGCTGGAAGAAGCACAAGCTGGAATCAAGATTGGTGGGAGAAATATCAATAACCTCAGATATGCAGATGACACCACCCTTATGGCAGAAAGTGAAGAGGAACTAAAAAGCTTCTTGATGAAAGTGAAAGAGGAGAGTGAGAAAGTTGGCTTAAAGCTTAACATTCAGAAAACTAAGATCATGGCATCTGGTCCCATCGCCTCATGGGAAATAGATGGGGCAACAGTGGAAACAGTGTCAGACTTTATTTTTTTGGGCTCCAAAATCACTGCAGATGGTGACTGCAGCCATGAAATTAAAAGACACTTACTCCTTGCATATTAAAAAAGCAGAGACATTACTTTGCCAACAAAGGTCCATCTGGTCAAGGCTATGGTTTTTCCAGTGGTCATGTGTGGATGTGAGAGTTGGACTGTGAAGAAAGCTGAACGCTGAAAAATTGATGGTTTTGAACTGTGGTGTTGGAGAAGACTCTTGAGAGTCCCTTGGACTGCAAGGAGATCCAACCAGTCCATCCTAAAGGAGATCAGTCCTGGGTGTTCATTGGAAGGACTGATGCTGAAGGTGAAACTCCAGTACTTTGGCCACCTCATGCGAAGAGTTGACTCATTGGAAAAGACCGTGATGCTGGGAGTGATTGGGGGCAGGAGGAGAAGAGGATGATAGAGGATGAGATGGCTGGATGGCATCACCGACTCGATGGGCATGAGTTGGATTAAACTCCGGGAGTTGGTGATAGACAGGGAGGCCTGGCGTGCTGTGATTCATGGGGTTGCCAGAGTTGGACACGGCTGAGCGACTGAACTGAACTGAAGAAAGCATGCCATAGTTACAGATAACGACCTACTAGTTGCAACTCACTGACCTATTTATTGTCCTTCACCCACTGAAGCCCTGAAGTTCTATATCCTTTTACCAGAGCAGACCTTGGATGGGGCCCTGCTGCCTCACCCAGATCATTTCTACTTCTGTCTTAATCAACCATGGACTGTAGAATCGTGGCTGTAGAATAAAGCTTGTATATTCTAACTTAACCTCCAGAGCCCTCATTATACTGTAAATCCTGCTTGCATTCAGAAGAATACCAAAACAAGGATTCTGAAACTCTCTAGCCCCGTAATTCCCTTTTTACACCTAAACTTTGTTAATTTTGATTTTGGACCCAGACCTAATTGCCAAGTTATTTTGGCAGTACAGAGCCCTCTTTCTTGAGCTATCTAAAGAAAGGTTTCAATTTAGAGTTTCATAGTGTGTGGGCCAGGAATTTTTTAAATCAGGGATCAGCAAACTCTCCCTGTAAAGGGCAGATAGTAAATATTTTAGGCTTTGCAAGCTGTGTGGTCTCTGTCACACTTACTCAGCTCTGCCATTAGAGTACCAAAAAAAGAGGCAGTATGTAAATGAAGAAATGTAGATGTGTGCCAGTAAAATTTTATTTAAACTGTGGCAAAAGGCCAGACTGCACCACACCTTTTAAGCTATCAGTCTATAATATTTTCTGTAGGTGACATATTTGCCCATTTGAGGAAGAAGTCAAATATTTACATCACACATAACAGGAAATCGTGTATATATTAAGAATGCAAACAAAAGTGAACACTAAAAAAATATTCTGAGTAATTCAAGATGCAAGACCATAAAGGAACAGATGAACAGACCTGACTATACAGAAATGAAGATCACAGAGCACAGCATAAACCGGAAGTTGGAAGACAAACTGGAAAAACAGTCACCGTCTGTGTGACTGGCAGCCGGTGTGGCATCTGTACGCCAGCGAGAGGAGTAACTTGAAAGAAGGACAAAAGATATACGTTCCCAAGAGAAGATACATTATATAATTCTCAGAAAATAGGAATAGATGCTCATTCTTACTAATAGTGAAATCTTTTTATTAGAATTTTTTTTGCCTGCCAAATTTATAAATGTGAATGATTAGTAACACAATACTCAATGTGTTGGAGAAAATTGGGGAAATAACTGGAGATGGTTGTGATGCCTTCTATTAGTTCTGTCTTATTGTGTAACAAATTACCCCCACAGTTTAGCAGCTGAAAGCATCAAGCATGGATGATCTCACAATTTCTGTGGACTGGTAATTCAGGAGTTGCTTATGAGGTTGTAGTCGAGCTGTTAGCTGTTAGCACAGACAGTCTGCTTCTAAGGTCACTCCTGTGAGTCCCTGCAGGCTCCAGTTCCTTACAGCCTATTGGCTAGAGATGCCAGGTCCTCCACATGGACCTCACATTGGCTTCCTGAGTATTCTTACTACATGGCCACTAGTTTCCCCCTGAGCAAGTGATCTAAGAGCCAGGACAACATCACAGACACCACAGTGTATTCTGTAGTCTAATCCCCCGAAAGTGGCATGCCATCACTTCATGACATGTTGTTGGTCACATAAACTAATCCTGGTACAACAAGGTCAATACAAGGAGGTGGGATTCCTCAGGAGCCACCTTGGAAGCTGGTTACCACACAACTGTATTGGGACTGTATGTCTGGAGCCTTCTGTCTGTCACCTGGCCTCTCTGCATAGCTTCTGCTGCAGCTAGTGTCCAAATGGGCTTTTTTTCTCAAATGTCTGGTGCCTGGGTGGATTTCATAGGAGCAACTGGGAGCAGACTGGGCCTCTTTCACTCCATATGGCTGGCTTTGGCTTCCTTAAAACAGCGTGGTCTCAGGTTAGTCATAGTTCTTATATGGCAGCCAACTTCCCCCAGAACCAGCATTCCAGGAAATCTAGTCAGAAACTGCAAAGCCTCTTATGACCTGTGCTGTGTGCTTAGCTGTTCAGTCTTAGTTGTTCCCACTCTTTCCAGCCTCATGGACTGTAGCCTCCCAAGCTCCTCTGTCCACGGAATTTCCCAGGCAAGATACTGTAGTAGGTTACTGTTTCCTACTCCAGGGGGTCTTCCCTACCTAGGGAGCAAACCCACTGTCTCTTGCATCTTCTGCATTGGTAGGAGGATTCTTTACCTTTAGCACCACCTGGGAAGCCCTTATGACCTAGCCTCAAACTATCTCCATTTTCTGTTGTCACAGCGTGTTACAGGACCTACCCAGATTCAAAGGCATGATTACCAGGAGGTGTGACTTACTGTGAGGGGCCATCCTTGAAACCTATCCAAGGAATTTGTGTTTAGGATAGATGATGCTGTCTTACTCTAAAGTGGGAGCAGTGAAGGTCATATAAATTGGTCTGATTCTGGATGTATTTTGAAGATAAATCTCACAGGATTTGCCTGTGGATTAGATATATATTATAGTATGTAGGGTAAAAACAGCAGAGTCAAAGGTGAATCTGAGATTTTTGAGCTGAGCAGTTTGAAGAACAGGGCCACCATTTTCTCGGACAGAAAGATGGCAGGGCAGCAAGTTGGAGAGGAAGTCAGGGCCAGTGAAAATAGTAGACGTCTGTATGAGACAGTGCGTGCAACCATGTAGCCACTAGGGGGGTCAACAACCCACATGGTGGACCGTAGAAACGCTGTCCGCGGCAGTAACTGCAGGGCGTAATGAGTATGATCCAGGCTATGGAGGAAGAAATGCATTCATGCATGCGCTACTGCGGTTCAGGTTGAGAAAAGACTAGTCTGAATTAGTAAAATATCTCAATTGTACATTTTTCCCCTTGCTTTTATTACATTCAAGAGGTGAGAAATGGTATAGCATTAATAGGTAGAATTAGGAAGATCTGATTTAGTTAATAGACTAAAACATCAAATATCTCTTTCTGATGCTATATTTGGCTTTTTTAAAAAAGTGTGTACAACAATTGCGTGTGTTAGTCACTCAGTCCTGTCTGACTCTTTGTGACCCCTTGGACTGTAGCCCACCAGGCTCCTCTGTCCATGGAATTCTCCAGGCAAGAATACTGAAATGGATTGCCATTTCCTTCTCCAGGGGAATCTTCCCAACCCAGGGATTGAATACAGGTCTCCTGCATTCCAGGCAGACTCTTTACTGACTGAACCACCAGGGAGCAACAATTAGGGTTATCTTAAATTCATCTCCTACCTGCATACTTTGTTTAAAGGGCTCCATTTTCTCAGCAACCTGAAGCCTTTTAAATGGTAATAAAAGGGTCTGAACATGTAGGGTATATTGTTCAGAAAGATTAGAACTGTCAAGTAAGAATCTCAAGAAAATTTATTCAGAAGATTCTCTGACTAAGTTGTCACTGGGCCAAAAACCATATATCCTTATTCCCCTGAAGAGAGAGATTTTGAGCTTTGTTGACATAAACAAAAATAAAAGACAAATGACTCGCTGAAAAAAAAAAAGACACTTAAAATAGTTAATGATGGGTTTATTTTCTAAGGAAGAGTTTTTTGTCTTCTCAGATTTTTATTTTGGTCAAATAATTTTTTTAAATATAAGTATCAAATGTATAGGGCCTGCAAGTTCCAGTGAAGGGGCAAACGTCAGTTGTTGATTTCACGATATAGTTGTCATGCTGGTTTTAATAAATTACAAGATATTTAAAAAAAAGTGTCTTGTTTATTTTCAGGGGCTACGCTAAGTATGAGACCAGCACCCATTCCAATAGAGGACCCAGAGTGGAGACAAACGCCTCCCCCAGTCTCAGCCACGTCTGGCACCTTCCGACTAAGGCGAGGCAGTCGATTTACCTGGAGAAAGGAGTGTCTGGCCGTCATGGAAAGGTACCTGTCTCCTTTTTCTAGGAGCAGTCTTGCAAAGTGAGGAAAGAGAAACTTGGGATAGATGTGGACCCTTCATTTCAAACAAGTAATTTGAGATCTAGAGTCTCTCAAATTATTTTGAGGTAGAATAAGTGCTGTATTATTGAAATACTATTAATCTTATCATTGAGAATTCATAAAACTGGAGTTAGTATCTCTCAATGTAATTTGTGTCCTCAGTGATTTACGGAACTTTAAAATAATTTTTTTGAGTTTAGATCTTTGTATTCTACTGTAGAAAAACTCACTGATGTCTTATTTTCATGAAAATATTAAATAACTGTGTAGGAGGCCACTGAGACCTAACTGTTTTTGATAAGGAGTACAGCCTAAATGAGCTTCGTCCCAAGGGCTAGAAGTACATGTTTTTGACTTTGATTTCATGTCCTCTGACTCTAGCACCAGTTCCTGATCTATAGTGGGTACTCAGTACTTTGTAAACTTTAAATTGACCTTAGCTTTAGTCTTCTCATTCGAAATTATGTAAGTTAATTAAATGTGGTTATGAAATGTTCTTCGGTGCTCAGCTGAAGAATTGATGCTTTTGAACTGTGGTGTTGGAGAAGATTCTTGAGAGTCCCTTGGACTGCAAGGAGATCCAGCCAGTCCATCCTAAAGGGAATCAGTCCTGAATATTCATTGGAAGGACTGATGCTGAAGCTGAAACTCTAATACTCTGGCCACCTGATACAAAGAACTGACTTATTTGAAAAGACCCTGATGTTGGGAAAGATTGAAGGCAGGAGGAGAAGGGGATGACAGAGGATGAGGTGATTGGATGGCATCACTGACTCAATGGACGTGAGAGTAGACTCCAGGAGTTGGTGATGGACAGGGAGGCCTAGCATGCTGAAGTCCGTGGGTTTGCAAAGAGTTGGACACGACTGAACAACTGAACTGAACTGATGAAATGTTCAGTATATTTAAGGTGGATCCTATAGTGTAATTACCCTTTTTGTCTCCTACCTGTAAGTAATGTTTATAGAATCTTGGTTTGATGGAGAGTTTTTTATGCAATAAGGTAATTTCTATTAGAGAAGTATTTATCTCCCAAGATTAAGATGTAGAGAAAAAGAATATATTAGGCAGAGGTGGAAAGCATTGAACTTTTTCATATTGTGATTTCTCAATAATTTAAATAATAGAATGGAATTGAATGTTTAAAACTAAATTTAACTTCTAAGCATATACGTACTCACATTGAGCCCGTTTCACATTTTTTTCCTGCTGTCTACTCTGGCCAATTGAATGGTATACTGAAAAGAACATTAGAAGACCTGAAGCCTGATCTTGGCTTTGCCATTAACCAGCTATGAAACTTTGTTCAGGTCACAGATTCTGAGCTTTAGCTTCCTCATCACTAAAAGGTAGTTTTTCCACAGCCAGAGGTGAATTATATGCAGTCTAGGACTTTTGCCATCTCTCTTCCTGCCTTTGTCGTTCAGTCACTAAGTCGCGTCCAGCTCTTTGTGACCTCATGGACCAGTCTTGCCTGTCATCCACTATCTTCCGAGTTTGCTCAGGGTCATATCCAGTGTGTTGGTGATGCCATCCAACCATCTTATCCTCTGTTGCCTGCTTCTCCTCCTGCCTTCAGTCTTTCCCAGCATATTTCCAATGAGTAGGCTCTTCGCATCAGGTAACCAAAGTACTGGGACTTCAGCATGAGTCCTTCCAATGAATATTCAGGGTTGATTTCCTTTAGGATTGACTGGTTTGATCTCTTTGCTGTCCAAGGGACTCTCAAGAGTCTTCTCCAACACTGCTGTTCGAAAGCACCAATTCTTCAGCGCTCAGCCTCCTTTATGGTCCAACTCTCATATCCATACATGACTACTGGGAAAAGCATAGCTTTGAAAGTAATGTCTCTGCCTTTTAATACGCTGTCTAAGCTTGCCATAGTTTTTCTTCCAAGAAGCAAGCGCCTTTCAATTTCATGGCTACAGTCACCGTCCACAGTGGTTTTGGAGCCCAAGAAAATAAAGTCTCACTGTTTCCACTTTTTCCCCGTCTATTTGCCATGAAGTGATGGGACCAGATGCCATGATCTTAGTTTTTTGAATGTTGAGTTTTAAGCTAGCTTTTTCACTCTCCTCTTTCACCTTCATCAAGAGGCTCTTTAGTTCCTCCTTGCTTTCTGTCATTAGAGTGGTGTCATATACGTGTCTGAGGTTGTTGATATTTCTCCAGGCAGTTTTGATTCCAGCTTGTGAGTCATCCAGTCTGACATGTCACATGATGTATTCTGCATATAAGTTAAAAAAGACAGGTGACAATATATAGCCCTGATGTACTCCTTTCCCAGTTTTGAACCAGTCTGTTGTTTTATGTCCGGTTCTAACTGTTGCTTCTCTTCCTGCATATTTCCCAGCTCATTAACATCGATACCTGAAAGAGAGGGAGATTTTCAGTGCTGAAGTTTAGACCATCTTTTTATTTTTGTGATTAAGTTGAAATTAAAAGCCTTTCTTAATGAGAAGGTTGGACCTAGTAGTAGGCAAAATGTAACTACAGAGATCCACTGATGTTATCATCTGTTCCTTTTCTGACTCTGTTATAGATCAGAAAGAAGGCATTTATTGAATAACAATCCTTATAGGCTTGAGTGATTAAAGTGAAAGAGTGAGACATTATTGTACTAGAGACATGACATTTACAGCCTCCTCTGTTTTTCTCATTTATAAATTTTGATCCTTTTAAAAAATTCCTTCAGAATTTATCACAGAACAGACATGTGTTTAATTAATATCTAACTTAAATTATTTCCAATATTTTACATTTTCTTCTTGATAGCAAAATAGCTGTGGTATTAGTTTCTATTTGGTATAAGTACCAAATAGAGAGTTAAATATTTTCATGAAGATGTTGCAGGAAGGAAGACTCCTTCCAGGGCCCATAAGTGGGCTCTTGTCTAATATTTGGAAATGAATTATCTAAGGAAATACACGTGCTGACAAAGCAGGAGACTTTATTGGGAAGGGGCAGCCAGGTGGAGAGCAGGAGGATAAGGGAACCCAGGTGAACTGCTCTGCCACGTGGCTCATAGTCTCAGGTTTCATGGTGATGGGGTTAGTGTCCGAGTGTCTCTGGCCAATCACTGACTCAGGGTCCTTCCTGTGGTGCAGGCATTGCTCAGTCAAGATGGATTCCAGGGAGGATGATTCTGGGAGGTTGGTAGGATATATGGACTGGTGTTTTCTCTCTCCTTTTGACCTTTCCTGAATTCTTCTGGTTCATGGTAGCTTGTTAGTTCCACGTTCCTTACCAGGACCTCCTGTTGGTAAGATAGTTCATGCCAAGTGGCTGCTGTCTTGCCTGGCTAGAGTGGGCAGTTTCAGTCAATTGCCTCCTTAACAAAGATACCAGTATCCATTTATTACATAATGTCAGTTTGAAGAAGGATTAATTTAAAAATTGCTAACATTAATAATAATGGGTGATATTGCTAATAGATTTTCAGAATTGAGCCTTCAAAGCTTTGCAATTCATGTTTTCCCAAGGCAACAAGAACTGGCCACAAAATCACTGATTAAATTTCACCTAAAAAGACATTGAGTAATTATCCTATGTGAGGCTCCTGTTTAATCTTAGTTTTCACTTTTTAACCTTAATTTTAATTAGTGTGTCTTTAATCCAAGAATTAGTTATCTTTGGTTTAATTTTATCTTACCTGACACAGTTAGTAAGAAAATATGATATAGTTTATTCCAGTAGTTTCACATATGCAAGAAGCCTTTGAAAGGTTTTAATAGCAGTAGTACAGAAGGTCATAGTATGATTTTCTTTCTGTGAAAATGGAGCTTTTTATTTTCTAACACAGAATATAAAATTCCCTAGCCTTAGAGCCATTCCTGACTTTTTTCCCCTAGACCAAATGGGTGAATAAATACATATGCACAGACTATAAAGCCAGCAAAGTACCAGCCTTACTCAAATATATTAGTACAAGTCAAAAAATATTTCATTCTTCACCTCATACACTAAGATAAATTTCAAATGAATCAAAAAAGTGAATCTGTGTAAATAATAGAAGAAAACATGAATGATTCATCCACATCCTAGAAATGGTGAACTTTTTCTTAAGATTCAAAATCCAAAAGCAATATGATTACATAACTTACAAGAAAAACTGGGGGCAGAAAAAAACCATGAACAAAGCAAAATAAAAGAAAAATTGGATAAAATACTTGCTGCTTATTATTGTCCCTAAAGTATAAAGAACTTTTAAAAGAGAGAGAATACCAACAACTCTATAGAAAAATGAACTAAAGATATCAGCAGAAAAACAAATACAACTGGCTCTTACACTTTAGGAAAAGATGTTTAACTCATTAAGAGAAGTTAAAATTACACTGAGATATTAATAACTACCATTATTCTCCTGTCACATTGGCAAAAATCCAACAGTTCCACAGTGTTTTCTGTTCTTTGAGCTGCAGAAAAATGGGCATTCTCATGCATTGCCTGTGGGAATGCAAAATGGAACAACTTCCATGGAGAGGAATTTGACAGTATTAGGGAAAATTACCCATGGGTTTGCTCTTTAACTCAGCACTCCCACTTATAAAAAATTATCCCAAAGGTAAACGTCTAGATAATTATCCCAAAGATATATCTTGGAATAATATCAAAATACTGAATTCAACCAATATGTCTATTGGTGCACTGGGTGAATAAGTTAAATGGTATATCCATATGTTGGTTATCCGGGCTTACATAATGAAGTGCTATACAGCTGAAAAAAGGAGGGAATTTTTCTTCTCATAGAATGAAAACCATAGTGTGTCCATCTGTACTATTGCTATTAAGTATTTTAAAGTTTTTTTTTTGCATTTTTACAGTTATTGGAATGGATGCTTCTCTATATGATAGCGATATCCAGGATATAATTTTTTTTAAAAAGGCAGTACCAAATGTATATACTATGCTATCACTTATATATTTGCTTACAATTTGTTTAT